TCTTACAAACCCTTGGCAAGTCCTTCACCTGCCCTCTGCCCTGAGCCACCTCACCCTGTGGTTAAAAACTGCTTCCAATTGTGGAAATTTCATACACAGCATAGTCAGAGTTGCATTTCAGCGTGAGTTTTCAAATAAGCACAATCGCATCTTTGCTGGCGACGATGACGACACAGCGTGCTCTTCCCAGGGCAAAGGGCCGTTCCACGAAGCACGAGCCAAGGGTGCAGCGCCCAAGATGTCCGGCGGCTCCTTCGACACAGATGACAGCTACAGGCTGTGGTTTTGGGATCTGGGAATCCCTACCTCCCCTTCCCAAACCAGGAACAACGCTCTTCATTTTGGGGGTTGTCTCGGTCAGTTTATATGTTCCAGGGGAAACAAAGATAGACAGCAAGATCCAGAATGCTTCAAAATACAATATTGTATTCATACTAAACGAGGACCACGCATTCCGCTGTAGGCTGAGCAACATCCCAGTGCCACCTCTTTATGTCAGAAATTACAATTTGGGTGTAATTTCATGTGAAAATCTGCCTCTGTTTAGGTCAATAAGAAGCCAGCTGGATTTCGGAGAGAGGATAGGCCAGGCAGCACGACCCCCGGAGACTCCCTCCTGCCCCGAAGGGATTTTGCGAGCCCCGGCAACCCCCCAAAGCTCACGCTGCTGCAGGTAGGCCAGAGGAAAACCCGACGACTTTCAGATTCATTATCGGGCAAATTCAGGACATCGAAACACGCTACCATCCCGCGCAGCGTTACGTTTCTGTACGGCACGCAAGGGGTTGCAGCTGTAACGCCTTACGTGGCAACAGTGACCGTCGGCTGCTTCTCTTGTGTTTTTAAATGCTGAAACTGCATTTTCTACTTTTCTGGCTCTGCCCTTCAGACCAAGTCAGAATGCCAGGTCAGTGCATTTCTGAGTAAATTAAACTACTGTTTTTAGAAACTTTTAAAATCAAGTGTTTTACTGGGCAGCGAAGGCATAATTAAAAAGCGCTTAATGATGTTAGCAATTTTCCTTTCGGCTGTATTAGTAAAAGCAGGCATGAAATGGGTCTCGCAGCACTTTTTAACAGACGCTGTCAGGCTAAGTGGGCTACGTAAATCAAACTCAAAAAAAAATAGTGCTGATCTTTCTGGCACATACATGATGAGACACAAATGACCTCCGTTCTCTGTTTCCACCCATACGCTTCCTTCTACCCACAGAGTGTTTTATTTTAGTGACGAGTTAAAATTAAATGTCTGTTACTGCAGCAAGCAGTAGGAAATGCTCGGCCTGGGCGGCTGCCAGGAGAAATGCTTACGTCACGTGTACATTTTATGTCTGACATTACCATCGGGCTCTTCGGGATGGCTAAGGGTCATATGAAGCGCTCGCCTCGGACACCGCCGATACAAGGGACTGGCAGCCTGCTGCAGTTTTACGTAAGAGTCGAACCGCTCAGTTGCTCCAGGAAACGCACAGTGGATGCACCCGTGGCCTCGCGTCTGTCATTTTGGTTTATCCATTAGACCATAGAGCTTAAAGAATTACTCTGAAAGGGCCCTCAAGCTGACAAAGTGCTTCGGTCCTGAACTGAAGTTTCCAGCTTTTGCAGCACAGCTCGGTAAACATAGAACATTCCGGCTGAACAAAGTTCAAAAATTAAGATCACAACACCTAGTATGTATGATATCGGGAATACAAAAAAAAAAACAACCAAAATTTTGTTTTGAAATGTAAATAATACAGTATATAAATACTAAGCTCTGTAGACCTTCTGCCCACATTCTAGATGAAGCCAGCAGCATCCATCAGTTTTATAATTGCATACTTGTTTGTGCATTAAGGCAAGGGATTGCATTTGTGAACAAGCAATACCTAAAAGACTAATGACTGAATCTAGCAAAGCATTCAAGTACAAACATCAGATCAAACCTGTGGTACGTAGTCGGTAATTATTCTCTACAAGAAACGCAACGCACGAAGAAATTACAGCAACTCTGAGGTTATTAGAGTCACCGTAATTCTGGAGCTGGGAGAGTACAACTCAGCAGCCTTGTTACTGCTGGACTGCAGCCCTCTGTTGCTTTCAGCGCTGTTACGGCGCTCAGATACATGTCGTACCTGCTACAACGCTCGCACACGCTTTAATAATTATGTCTCAGAAATAAAGTATTTGTGGAGAGGACCTGCTCCACGAATCTCGGCAGTGTTTATGGTGCAGACACCGTGTGCAGGGAGGTTCATGCTACTTCAGTTTCTCCACGCAAACTACGCTCTCCTTTCTGGTTTCCAGAGTCGGTGAGCTGGCTCAGACTACGCACGCTACCTCCTGCTGAGTTGCAGGTGAGCAATTGTCCAACAGGCTCCTCTGTCATAGAAAATGGTGGAAGCCCCCCTGCTCGAGTACCTTCGAGCTAAATGAATAATTTTGGAAAATACCACAACAGACTAGAAGGTCAATTTTTCTTTGGTAACAGATTACACAGAGTGATAAGTCATGTTTCCCAATATAAGATAAGCATTTGTTTTAGTATCAACTCCAAAGTTTTTTCTTTTTCCTCTGATCAAACCGAAGAATAGTTAGTATTAATTATTCTTAACGATAACCTCTTTAACATTAGGTATTGCAAAAGGCATCTTCCAAGGTAGATCAATCTAACTTCTCGGTCAACAGCAGTGTGGAGGGGCATCTCCCAAGTCTTTTATTCTTACTAACGGTAACAGATTTCCTCTCGTAAGATGACTTCATTCAACGCCAGTTCTGTCGAGTGAATCAATGCAAATTCTATTGTGCTAGGATGATTTCTTTTGTTTCTGATTATAGGTGCAGAAGCTTTGATCCCTCACAGTTGCTAAGGAGGATCCGAGATGCCTGGAAAACTCCAGTGCCAACAGACACCCAACAAAACGCTGCCCTCTAAAGGTAATTCGCACGCACTGACAAGCTACAAGACAAACAGCAGCGGGACTTCTTGTACTCTACTTGGGAAGCAAATATATTGAAGGAAAAAATGGGCGGAAGACGTGCGTCTCTTAAAGAGACCCTTCCTTGCACCCTGCTTGGTTCGCAAGAGAGGAATGCACATAACATTCCCTTGGTCCGTAAGATTCAGGGATCTGCTTATTCGATTAAGGCGTGAAAGCCAGTCTAGATAAAGATAAGTGTTCAAGATGAATTCCTATAGTTATCTTAATGTTCTGCTCCTATAAGATTTGCTTGCTTATTTAAAGAAGGTTTCCAAGAGAAACCTGACATGTAGACTCTGAAAAACTGGAATGTAAACCGCTTGAGCACGGAGGTCAACATTCCTTTCAAAACGTGCATAATACATGATTTACCTTGAAAACTCAAGAGAGTTGAGAGCGCTATTGTCAAGGGACTGGGCTATTATCCAGGTAATAGTCTGTCACATGGAAGTTGGTTATAAGAATTAGTTTATAAAAGCAAAAGTCAGCAACGAGATGACCTGAAATAGCTTGTTAACATTTCAAAAACGGTGATAAGAAATATTCAAGGCTTCTGAGAAATTCATGGGTTGGCAGTACCACAAGCTGAGAGGCTTCTGTGGAAAAACCCAGACCATATTTTGGGTGATAGCTTGCAATGGCTCGAGATCGCAGCTCTAACTTGGTGATTTCCAACAGCAGAACTGCAGGACGCCTGACAGAAGAGGAAAGTCTTCCCTGTCGTGGCTGTCGCCATCTTCCCGACGCTGGGGACGACACGCCAGGACGGCCCAGCGCGTCCCGTTTTTGAGCAACCGCTTGGATACCTGCCTACGCACCCTGCGTCTGAGCCTCCACAGCCTCCCTTGGCTTCCGCCACTGTTGGGGTTTTTTTTTGGCTCGTCTTTTTTCTTCCTGCTCGTTTTGCTTCAGCCTAAAAATTTTTGTTCTGGGTTCAGCGCGACCTACCTTCCCCGTATGTGCACTTCGAAGCTGGTGCCGGCTTTTTCCCTCCCTTGTCCCTTAGACAGATGCAACACTAACAGCAGGGCTGTTTTTCCAGGACATCTCAAAGTGGTTATGTTCCTTGCAAACAGGTTCAGCCAGCCTCTAATATACAAGACTGTCAAACCACGATGGGAGTGCGGGGGAGAAAATCAGGTCTCGTATAGAAGTCTATAGGGAAGGCATGTAGAAGAGTTGTCGAGCTTGAGTCTGACTTTAAAGTTTACATTGCAAATATACTGGGGGTCTTTTCCCTGTTTTTCTTAATGAAAAAAAAGTAAAAATCTTGGTGGTGACAGAAATTCTCAACGAGCCTAAGCCAGTAACAGCTCGTCGTGATTCCCCGAGCCACGCTTCTCCGTTCAGCCCTGCCCCAGCTGACAA